ATATATGTATACAGAGACCATAAAAGCCATGCAATTTTTATCTCCGAAACTGTAATCATACTTGTGATTATATGCATGTGCTTTAAATTAGGAAAATATTCATGTTACGCAATTTTAAATTTCAAAAATCAGTTTTGCAGAAATTACCAAAGTTAACTTTTTATATGGTCCCCCAGTCTTTACATTTAGTAAAAGTTCTACTATTTCTAAAAAATAAAACACAAAATGTTTGACTCCCGTATTACAAAAATTAAACCAAGATGTTCAAAGTGTGAGATAATAAAAGAAACAGAACGTCTGTCTGAGATCAGGGGTTATACATAAATTGAAAAGTTAAATATTTAAACCTGTATATAACTTAAAGTAAGATATAATTTTTTTTCCAGTAAATAGTATTAGGCTTCAGTGTTGGTATATAGACAACGCATGAGATCATTTGCATAAATCAAAAGTGAAGACTATTTATAATCAAATGATTTTTTTTATTATTATTAATGTTAGATTATTATCCTGAAGTACTGAAACTCCATGTGAATATCATTTAATGCGTTTTTAGCATTGAAAAACTTATAAGCTACTTGCACGAAAATACTTTTGGTGCAACAAATGCAATAAAATTGTAAATTTAAACGTTTCACACCACTAAGCCACAAAGGCATATATATCACTGAATGATGTTAGCCATAGAAAGCCCTGAATGATTCTCATTTATTTTTTTAACTGATTCTACAAAAAAAAAAACAGAAAAAGATGTTCTAAATTTGAAATAAATATCTCAGTCATTTTTTCATACGGAAGTCAAACTTTCTTTGTTTTTATTTTTTTACAAGATATATAAAACCTTTCTAAATATATCTATAAAAACCTATGTTAGATTTCATAATTTTTAGAAAACTGAATTTATTCGGTTTCAAAATGCTGAAAGATAAATATTTACATCATTTAAAACATTTTTGCAATTGGAAGTGCATGTCTATGACCAGCAGTCACAAAAAAGGACACATAAGGACTTTACGGATATGGTGTGCATGCATAAATGAGCAAAAACAAAGTCATGTGATTGTTTATTTTTGCTGTAGAAACTTGAAATGAAATTTCTCCCAAATGTGTCTGTTATTTTTCGAAAATGAGAAAAATACCAGAAATTGATCAAGTCACTCATGTCACAAAAGTTATCAACCTTGTTAGGCAATCAGTTAGACGGTGATATCAACAAGCTGTTGGGCTCATAACAGAGAGTTGATAATCAATGAGCTTACAGAGATGTGGGAGCAAACTGCTACTGAAAAAGCTGGTACCACAGAAACAGGTCCACCAGAAAAGCATACACTTACAGACTTGAAAAACACTTGCAAATTTGACAGGTCTCAGCCAACTGAAAATGGATTAAACATTTTAAAGACTGTACTAATGAGGAACTTCTGACTACAAGGAAAGAAATAAAAAAAATTATTAGCTTCATATGGAGAAACATTAGATGATTAAAAAAAAAAAAAAAAAGAAGTCATTCAATTGTCAGGTGATTTTGCTAAATTTTGTGAAGCCAGTGGTATCAAAATAACTTTGTTTTTGTGTAGAACATATACTTTTTTGTAATGATTTACTATTTTGTAATACATATACTATTTTGTAATGATTTATATGAAAATGCCATTCTTTATTACATACTCCTTTCTAATCATGTATTTTTTGGTGTCCGCCGATAACATCGCGGACGAAAACGTCGCGGAGAAAACAACGCAAGGCGAAAACGTCGTGCTACAAAACATCGTGGGAGAAAACATCGCAAAGAGAAAACATTGCAGTTCTAAAACATCATGCTAGAAAACATCGTCGTCGAAAATAAAGCTGTTCAAAAACTTCGCAGTTTAAAAACATCGTCATAGAAAATATCGTGGTAAAAAATAAAGTATCTACAAATCATCGCATGACGATAACTTCGCAGACATGCTTTTTTCAGGTTTTAATTATTGTAAATGGATATTCCCATAATGATTTGTGAGCGCAGTATGTAAAGAAGGATAATTTTTATTTTCACATATTTTATTAACTAATAAATGTTTGCTGAAAAAGTAAGAAGGAAACTTAAGCATAAAAAATTAAATGCAAATTATAGATTATACTTTTCATGAAAAATTACCAATAAAAACTTTATAAAAAATGATTTATTAATGGCCTTTGTTAGTTAACTATGTCGGTTTAAAATTCTATTAAGTGCTATAAGTTGCATTAATTTTCTATGCTTAAGTTTCATTCTTATTTTCTCAGCAAAAACTTTATTAGTTAATAAAAAGTATGAAAGTAAAAATTATCCTTCTTTCCATCTTGCAATCACAAATCAATATGGGAATATCCATTTACAGTTATTAAAGCCTGAAAGAAGCATGTCTGCGATGTTATCGTCATGCGATGATTTGGTGATACTTTATTTTTTACCACAATATTTTAACGACGATGTTTTTAAACTGCGAAGTTTTTGAACCGCTTTATTTTCGACGACGATGTTTTGTACCACGATGTTTTCTCGTTGCGATGTTTTCTCCCACGATGTTTTGTAGCACGACGTTTTTGCCTTGCGTTGTTTTCTCCGCGACGTTTTCGTCCGCGATGTTTTCGGCTGTAACCTATTTTTTTAGTCCTTCATCATATTTAACTAAAATTCGCATGTTTTCACATATTTTGCTGTAAAATTAACTAAGATTCACATGTTCATATGCAAAGTTAGCTTGCAACTTAAGCAAATCTGACTAACATACTTTTTGTTGGTTGAACCTCTCATGCAACTTTGAGGTATTACTATTTGGATTATTACTTTGGGATATTTCATATATGTATATGTTACTGTGAAACACTGAAATCTGGAGAATGTCGACTTTCACCTATGAATGTCAATATTCACATAGTCGCTCGGTGTATGTCCGAAATATTTTCCAAATTTTCTTATTTCACCGGTAAATGTCGACATTCACCATGTACTAATGGTGAATGTTGAACATATAAGAATATTATATTTTCTTCTCCGTAATTCTGTCATAAAAGAATGCACTTGAGACTTAAAATAAGAACTTAAAACACACAGTACATTCAAAATGAGAAAGGGAAATAATAGAAGTTAAAAACTTACTAAATTACGTGATTTAAGCCTTATTTATTGCAACAACTTAAACAATTATGACACTTTGAATTGTACAAGAGGCCTTTGCTTTTACAACTGCATTTATTTGTGGAACACTTTCTTTTGCAATGACAGCGTGTACATATACTGCTCTCTTTTTGACCTACATCAGAGCATATCTGTGATTGTCGACATACACCGAAGAGGGTCCGAATGTACAAGAATGTAATGCAATATTTGATCTTTCACCAACGTATTTGGTGAATGTTGACATTCTCCAATGAAAGTCGACATTCTCATATGTCTTTCACGATAACATGTATGTGTAAGACAAAAAAAATATGAAGGAAAATATTAACAAAGTGGAAAAAATTATAACTTAATTCACAATAGCCTTATAAATTTCTACTTTCAAGGATCTGTACTGCATTATTTTGTCATCATTTTTCTGCAATACAAAAGTTCTTGCATAATCACTGTGCAGAAGTCACATAAAACGTTCTGAGATTAAAAATAACTCCAGCTGCTTAATATGCATCACTTTCTCACCTGCTTTCACCTAACTAACCACTATTCATTGTTCCATGATATCTTTTATTGTTTATAATGTGATATGCAATATATCAAATTGTGGGATGCAGATTGCAACTAGTGTGCTACATGATGTCTGCAGAATTGTTTATATCTGCAAACAGCTGTTTATGTCCTGAACATAAAAATGGATATTTAATCTTCATGATGATTACAGTTGATTGCAGTTGCATCATGATACATTGTAACACCATCACCATTCCACATATGACTGCTGAATTAACTGAATTGTTCTCTCAATGCGCACTCTAAATAATCACATCTTTTAGTTAACAGGATTTGGAAAAGGTGTGATGATTAGATGAAGATGTAAAAAAAAAAGATGTACAAGTTATTTATGATCTTGAAACGTTTTGTTTGAACTCTGCACAGCGATTGGACAAGAGCTTTTACATTACACAGAAATTATGACACAAAATGGTGCAGTCAAATACTTGAACAGGGGATGTATATAAACTGAGATTAGAAATTTAGAGGGTTACTGCTAATTAAGTTAGAAATTTGTTCCAATTAAATTTTTTAATAATTTGCTGTCATATTTTTTATCATACATATACATACATATGAAAACAAAGAAAGGTAAATTTGTATCTACCCACTACAAGGCTAAAAGGAGTAGCCTATTATTTTATGCATAATTTTCATTTACAATGGGCATTAAAATAAAAATACACTGAAATACATGCAATGAAACTTCTGATAACAACCACCTCTAAAGGATATTATTTCTGAGATCACAATTAAAAAATTATATCAAACATCACTGACAGTCACATTTAAGATGTTCACCTTAAGAGAAGACAAGAATAGTTTGGAACAATGGGTGATTCTCTTAGGAAGGTTAGTGCATTTGTTTCATCTTAAAAAGGCCTGATTGTGAATAAAACAGATAAGAAAATCACCATCTGGTTTGCTAAATACATACAACTGCAAAAATGCATAGAAAAAAATGTATGCACTTAGATGTTAAATTACTATCATTTTCATCTTCAGTCTGCAACAAAATCTGTTCTCAGTTAAAGTGCTTCAATGGAAACAATTTCAAATAATGAAAATTAATTTCTTTATCACGATTTTAGAACTTGCAAATAGCAATAATAAATTCAAGTATGTATGCCAATAAATTAATTTAAGCTGACACACTAAAATATTTAAAATTCGACACTCTTTTTATATGCAAGAATAATGTTCTGGAACAACAGTATTTCAAAATCTTTTCTGACTATAACACTGATCACCAATCTTAAAACAGACAATAGAAGGAATTAGTGCCTCCTAATTCAAAATTCAAAATTTTATTTTTCAAAATTCAAAATTTTTTTTTCAAAATACAATATTTTTTTACAGATATGAAGGAAATTTCATTTTAACATCTGTACAATAAAGGTGAATTAAATGTCAATAAAAAATGAACAATGAGTTTTATTGCAACTTTACAAATGAACATATTTTATCCTTATGTTCTTAAACACGTTCGACTCCTATCCAGAATTTCCTTCCTGATCTTTGGATAATTTGGATATCTACTCAAAACCTAAGAAAATAAAAATGCAATTATAAAATACAGATTTATCTGAAGAATGGTAAAAGAAATATTCGTTACTAGACAGCAATACACACCATTTGGCAAACATCAATTGCATCGGCATAACGCTTTGCTTTCATATTATTAAATGCCAATCTATAACCTATAAGCAAAAAAAGAACTATTAATATTGAATAATATTTACATGTTCAAAATTAATGAAAACAAAACTTTGCAAAGTTTTTAAATAATAACATTAAGAACTATTAAAGCATACAGGTTTTTAATGTACACACTGCAACTGATACTTATCAGAAAGATATAAATTACAAAAACCAAATTATAAATATTTTATGTAAAATGAATTGTCCCCAGACATTCTGTTTTCTTACTAATGTAATTTTTATTTGTCTCGTAAAAAATCAAGCAATGCCATTACTCTGAAAAATTACAGAAATGTACGATAACCATTAAAATATACAGCTATGGCAATAATATTGACTAAAAGTCATAACATTATAATAAGTAGTTTCATTATTTTAATATATACTGTAAAATTATTATAATGCTATACATCACAAATAATACAGTTAATCAAATAATACAGTTAATTATTAGTACAGATCAAAGAGTTAATTATTGTACTAAAAGATTTGACCATTCTTTAGAGATATTCCATTTATATTTCACACAGCCTTCTAATTCAGAAACACTATAAGAATATTCTCTCTGAAATTTTAAGTTTGGATTAAAATATAAATTGACAGGCCAGCATGCAAACAGGCAAACAAACAAACAAACAGGCAACTGTTTTCATTAAAATATTAAGCTTCATTAAACACACAACACAAAAAAATTAACTAACTTTTTCAAATGAATCTACAGATAATCTAAAATGCAAAACTCCAAATTTGACTATGAATTTCTCTTCATAATCATCTAACACTTTCTGAGTTATAGTATCTAGAACATCACAAAGTGCTAAAAATGTTAAATCATTTTTCAGCTAAGCATATGAATAAGTATTTAACTTCAGTTACAGGCATGGAAATTTAAATTATGCGATTTACTGCTTCTTAAATTTCTTTCTTAAACTATGTCTCTTTATCCAAAAGAGAAGATATTAAAAAACAATAACCTAAAAACTGTGGATTTCAATCTAACACCTCAAAGAAGTGCTTCTACTCAAAAATCTCTAGTTGGGTCTAAAACCTCAAAGAAGTATTTCCATTAAAAAATTTTTAAAAACTTCTGAAAAATCCAAATGATTTCAAAAAGGTCAATGAAACACAAAAATTCTATTTCTTTTCTTAAAATAAAAGCAGTATCTATTGTTGCCAACACATGAAACTAAATCTTTCCTTTTGAAAAAAATTAAAATTGATTTCAAAAAGAATTTCAATTTTTAAAGTTCTAGTTACTTCTGCCATATTTTTGGAGGGAAGCAGGAATGTATAACGCTATAAAAATATTAAAATATTAAAAAAGAACATAGGGATTAGGGATTATTCAGTTATGGCAAAGCACATGAGGGCTATCTGCCTAAAGGGAGGGATGCCTTTGTGAAGGACTTTCTAAGGGAAACTGGCTCGTATATACATTACACATGGGGAAAACCACGAAATCGCCCATGCAGCCAGCCCGTTCGCTGGATTCGAGCCTCGGACCGAACTACCAGTGTTCAGCGTCTTTACCACTCGGCCGCTGGTGGGCCCTAAAAAGAAGAGTATGATTTGAAAAATTAAAGACAGAAATATATACAGACAGGTTTTTGACCTATATATTACTACAAAAATTTCATCATAACTATTAGTGTTTATTCTGGATACAAACCATATCATACACAAGAAGTAGAGTTAGAAATTTTGCTTTTGGCCAGTCACAGGGTGCTAGAAACCTATTTTACATACTACAATCATGGAATAAAGTAATACTTAATGCAAACTGCTAAGAAGGTCAGGTAAAATTATTTTTTAAATGATTAGCTTCAACAGCAATCACAGAGATGCTAACTATGACAGGTTTCCCATAATTATTACTGATATCCACTCTTTATTACGGAATTACTTCTGTGATAAGAATTGCTACTGATTGATTACCATTATTACTGATTCTATTAAATATTTCAGATAAGTGTTACTAATTATTTCAGTTACGTATTACTCATAGCTCTAAAGATGGCATCTCGGCAGACAGCAATGCACATTTACAATATAGAAGTTAATGTTATTTTAAGCATTGTCATTGGCTACAGTGTCTATTTAGCACAGATAAAATTTTATTGCAAAAGGAAAATGATAGATCCCTTAGAGATTTTTCTTCAAAGTGTTTCACAAATTTTTCTCATCAACATTTTTTAATGTCTTGCATTTCATCTCTGAGATGAGTTTGGAGTAAACAAAAAAAGCTCTTATAATGTTAAAAACCAAATGTATTTTCCCACAATTAATCTGTTGCAAAGCCGCTTTTTCACAAGGGATTCATTACACAGCGACTGAAGATAATATGTTCAGCTGTCAGAGTTCAAGAGGAGAAGACATTTATGAAAATTTATAATAGAGATTGATAGAGCTCTATAGAAATCCCTATACAGCTTATATGTAAATGCCTTTTTATAAAATTGTTTTCTATAGAAATCTGCAATACTTCTATAGAATGGTTTTCTATAGAATTCTGCAACTGATCAAAGCAAATTGTCAGTATCTGATGGAAAAAATTCATGGGGGGAGGGAAGTTCAAAAATATATACTTTTATTCATAAGTGTTAAATAACTTTTGTATGGAAATTTTTGCCATAATACTTCTCTACAAAATTCTACAGAAATTTTATAAAGCTTTCACAGAACAGAATTCTACAGAAATAATGCTTTGCAAAATCATACAGAAATTTACAAAATGGGTTTGTGTAGAAATTTGCAATGTTTTGAAACTAATCAAACCAAATTGTCAGTATCTGATGTACTATACGGGATAGAAAAGCTGAAACGTAAATATTCTTTATTTATATGTGCTAAATCACTTTTGAGTGGAAATATTTGCCTTTTCTCCAATAGCTTAATGTTTTTCAGCTTCTAAATTTATGTAACATTATGCGTAATTTTTTATACAGTTATGCATTTGTAATATAAAAATGAAATATTGTAAAAAAATCAATTGAAATCATAGTATTAATTAAAAGATTAAATATATGCTGTTAATTATAAAATTTCAATTCTTGAAATTTATGCCACTTGTCTCATTTCCACATCGTCTTTTATGTCTCCAGTTTCTTCTGTAAGCTCCACTTTCACTTGTTGGAGTTGCTTTCGCACCTTTTCTTGGTCACCATTTACTTCTTCTCGTCAGGCTTTCTTCTCTTCCAGTCCAGCTTTCATCTCTTTCAGTCCAGCTTTGATCTCAGCTGTCATCTCTTCATATCCAGCTTTTATCTCATCATATCCAGCTTTTATCTCAGCCAGTCTGGCTTTCATTTTAGCTTTCATCTCTTCATATCCAGCTTTCATCTCAGCCCTCATCGTAACATATCTGGCTTTTATCTCGGCTGAAATGTCCATCAAAGTCTTCATTTCTTCCGCCATGGCTTTCCTCTGTAGGCAGGTCACTGGCATTCACTCACAAACCTCACTCCTGACACCAGTTGTTGCATTTTTTTATTCTTCTGACACCAGTTGTTATGTTACTTTTTCTTTCACGTTCGTACAGGGTTCGTAGATTTTGAGTGAATAACTACGACACTTGATGAAGTATCGAAACACATTTTATTGGCCAGTATTATTCAAGACAGCTTCAAAATATGCTTTTTACAGTCATCGAAGATCTACTACAAACATGCTGGAAGAATCAGCGACACAGCCTTCAGGTTATCTGGCTATCACGGTGGAGACAGCTTCACTGCAAAGCACCAGAGTACAGCTCCCCACTCTGCTCGGTCGTTCTCGGAACTCCACGTACTCTCAAGACTCTCTAAGCTACAACTCGCGATGACTCGACGACACACAGAGCATGGCTCCCGACTCTTCGGTTCAGTCGCTCCCACAGCTCAACATGCTCTCTCAACAATGCACTAACTGCAATACACTACTTGACTCTTTTGGTGCACTCGACGGCCCACTGGGCCCTCGCTGCCCGGCTGTCAACTCGATATACTCTGCAGGGATTAACTCGCTAGACGAGACACCAACTCAATACTGACTATCTCACACTCTCGACAAGGCACACTCTAACTGACTGCAGACCAGCAGGGTTTATATAGCTTTTGGCTTGTGTTTGAGAACATTCTGGGCTAAACCGGTAAGAATTCGTTCCAGAAGTTTCTCCATCCGTCCATGATAGCGCAATTTTTTGCTAAATTCGCCATTCTTCTCCCAAATGTGCAACCTGCCTTCCCTTTACTTTTGGCACCCTAAACTGCTTGAGGGAAGTATCTTACACGCCTGACATTTCGTAACAATATCTTATTACAGTTATGTGCTTAGCATCTAAATATCCTGACGCCGTCCCGGTACCGGATATAACGTCGAAATCTGTTGTAAGTGCACTCTTGCAGGTATTTAGTCGGATGGGTTTTCCAAGGGAGGTTCAAACTGATCAAGGAAAATCTTTTATGAGTCGCTTAACCGTTGAATTTTTGAAGAGGTTTGGTATAAAAATTTCCAGAAGTTCTGTTTACCACCCCCAGAGCAATCCTGTGGAACGGTTCCATAGGTCAATAAAAAGGGTCTTAAAGGTATTATGTATTGAAGCTGCCCCCAAATTGGGAAGTACAATTACCTGCCGCTCCCTTTGCCCTGCGGACAGTAACGCATGATAGTACAGGATTTAGTCCAGCTGAATTAGTGTACGGGACCAACCTCAGAACACCTGTCGCATTATTGTATGAGAAATGGTTAGATCCTCAGGAAAAAGAAGATACCGTAATAGAATATGTTTTCGAATTAATCAATAGGTTAAAGAAAAGTAGAGAATTAGCTACAGAGAAAATGGAAGAGGTGAGAGACAAAAGGAAGAAATGGTATGACAAAAATGCCGTGAAAAGGGAATTCCAGCAAGGAGATTCTGTATTAGTATTAGCAGTGAACCAACCCCATAAACTCGCTCCTCAATGGAAAGGGCCGGGGAAAAATAGAGAAAAGATTATCAGAAACAAACTATGTGGTTAGTTTT